CAGAGAGAGAGAGAGAGAGAGAGAGAGAGAGAGAGAGAGAGAGAGAGAGAGAGAGAGGGAGACAGAGAGAGACAGAGCGTGCTTATTCATGACAGTTTGCAAGAAACACGGCCGGGTGTAATTCTGAGGAGCGCGATAACTTCCCTAGAAATCCACCTGTCCTTGCCGCGCGCGCACGCGAGGGCGGTGACGTCACAGCAGTGATAAGGTGAGTGTTGTCGACGGCGACTATAGCGTTCCGCCGCGCCGGAGATAGTGGTTGCCTTGCACGTTCGCTCCTCCTACGTGTGTCAGCGCACCGCTTCGGAGCCGCTGACACAGCTGACATTGAGAATTGCCCGCGATAAGTGGCCGTACCGCGCGTTCACCGATGTTGAAATGAAGCAGAAGCGCGTCATGTATGGCGACGCGCGTAAACGGTGTGAGAGACAGACGCAGTTCGCCCCGTACGGGCCCTGCCTACCCGCGGACTAATGATCAATGGCTTTATTCGAGAAGAGATACACGAATAAAGTGCTGTTAGATGATACGGAGCAACTGATCAGCGTCATCGAAAATGCAAGGACCATCGACGGACATACGGTACGTGCATCCTGTATTTTCGCTTTCCGCCCCTTCCCCTCACTCACTCTCTCACTCTCTCTCTCTCTTTCTCTGTCGCTCGCTCTCTAATTTGTTGTCTCTGTCTGTCTCATGCCTTCCTGTTTTATGCTGTCATCACCTTAACTTGTTTGTCCCGTGCAATTAAAGTATGCGTATGTCGAGATCGTCAGTCCCCAGTGAGACTGTGGTTATATTTCATTATAACGTATAGGCGTTCGCCTTGTGTACAGAAGGATACTGTTTGTTCAACAAACATCGGCTGCCATGTTGTATTTTTGAAGTTTGTTTTCACTTTTGCGCGGATCCTCTGTGGATGTGTTGATCACAAGTAATCGTGCCGTATTTTGTATTGTTCAGGAATACGTTATAAAAACGCAAAGAGGTCCACTTCCTGAAAGATCTTGGAGAGTGAGCAGACGTTACAATGACTTCGTTCAGCTCAATACAGCTTTATCTATATCTGGCTTCGACCTGCCACTACCACCAAAAAGAATTATTGGTAATATGGAACCAGACTTTATAGCTCAGCGACAAATAGCACTGCAGGTCTGTTATACAGAGTAGTCCTGTTTTCATGTGCAATATTTGTGCAACTGAGCAAAGTGAGCACAATCTTTTCCTTCTCTTTTTCAGAATTATCTAAACATAGTACTAATGAATCCTATACTAGCATCTTCACTTCCCATGAAAAAGTTTTTAGACCCTGAGAATTATACTGCACCGTTACATGGTAAGCTTATCAATTCATAAGCAAGAGAATTCAAGATGTGACATGCAACATAAATCGACAAACTGACATTGGCTGCGTTCAGTGAAGAAGGCTGCTTTGCAACTGTTGTCAAATTCATGTACCTAGTTGATGTATGCTCTTATGCTGAATCAGAACAAATGCTAATCAGATTCACAAATTTTACAACAGTTATAAAGTAGTCTTTTCTACTGAATGCATTTCTATTGGATTGGTTTTGATATAACTTTGGGAAACCACAAAGATAACTTCAAATTTCAAATAGCATGCAAACACTAACAAGAATTACTTTCTTCCAGAAATCGCACTGCAACAAGTGTCACTAGCGCTAAGGAGTGACGCGAATTACGAAGTATGTAAGCCCATCCCTGACATGGGATGGCGACTAAGGAAGCACTACTATACAGTGAAAAATCGGCAGAATCCGAAGCAGGAGCTTCTGCTAGCCTGGGTTGAATTCGGTCCTGATAAACATTTGCAAGACAAAGACATACAAGGGGTTTTTAAGACTCTGGGCTCTCTACGGCACACTTACATCGAACCGATGGTACACCAACATGTGACGGACAACGGGGCACTAATAATAAGGAATTTCTATCCGGCCGGCACGCTGCACGACATTTTGTGCGTCACCAAGCCTAAGCAACCGTTCATAAAGAAATATGGAAATCCAAAGCAAATCAAATCGTTGACCACGTCTGAAGTTGCAACATACGGTTATCAGGTCAATAATCGTCACTCGAGTGATCGTAGTAAAGCATGTGTCATTAGTTATTCTTTGTAGTAACAGTAATATCATTTACAGGTATTGGAGGCTCTAGGATACCTTCACGAGAAGGGACTACCTTACGGGCATTTACACACTGGCAATATACTTTTATCTCAGAGGTGCGCCAAATTATTGGATATAGAAAATGGGCTACTCGGCTTGCCAGCGTTTTACCGGCCTTACGTAGTGCAGAGGCGCAAACTACATGCCACGGTAGTATGATATTCAGGACATTATTACATAATGGAGTGCAACGTAACAATTCTCGATAGCGCAGTCAAATTTGAGAAAGATTGATTTTACAGTATTCGAAACGCTATATTCTTCTAGAACGTAAAATTTTGCATAAAGATCTTTCGTATTTCCTTTGCTTATTCTTTCATATTGAATTATCACTATTTCGATTGTATTATTACGGGTTAATTTGTACAAATGTGTTGTTTATAAAACTTAAGCAGTTGTAAACGTTTTTCACAACAGACTCAAGTTGATGTGTATTCATTCGGACACGTTTTGTACGAAATGGCGTTTGGACGGCCACTTTTGGAAGCTACATGCTCCGAGCTGCCGCATTGTGAAGCGAACCTGAAAAACCTGCTGGAGGTGATCCTGTCGCCAGAAGCTTTGAAGCAAGATTTGCCGACGGTGGCTCGATTATTGGAACATCCATTTTTCGAATCGGCAAGGCGCGTCGTGTTGGCCATCGGCGCCGTGGAGAAACCACACTTCAAATTGAGCAATCATCTGAAGGAAGCTCTGCAGGAAGCTGTAAATAAAGCCGAGCAACGATTACGCGATGAACAGAAAGTCGCCCGGCATCAGAAGAGGCTCGTTAAGGTTCAAGAGATGATGAGCTCCGAAGAGGAGATGAGGAAACGAAAGCATAAATTGGTGGGTGTATAGAAAAGTAAGGATTGTTGATAAACGTGAGAAATCGTAATGCGATTGCTACCCTTGCAGAAGAAGGAGCAGAAACTAGCACAAGAGCAACGTTCCGCGTCGCAGCTGGGCACTAACGGCACGAAACAAGTAAACGGTAAGAGTCCAGAACGTTCAGACAGCCCGACAAGTACTTCCACGGCTACCAGCGTTGGGACGTTGACTCCTCCATCGCTTCGTAAGTCACCACAATGCTCCGCACGTTGTTGCTATTGATGCTAATTGACATTTACGTTTCTACATCTCTTGATTAGCTGGGCACAAAAGTTGATGGCGCGTACTGAGGTCATTCCTTTCACGTAGGTCATTTCCGAACATTCAGATCTCTTAATGTCTATCAAATTTTCATAATTACCTTCATTCTTGCTTCATAAGAATTTTTCTCATCTTTGCTTTTATAGTGCTTCTACAAGTCGATGTGTGCAATGTGTTTTATCATTTCCTTTTGTAATGAGCGTTACTTAGCTTATCTTATATACATTAAGTCTTTTAATATTGTCTGTGATATATGATTGTCATATATTGTTACCCGTTATCTTTATCCAATTTCTTAAAGAGATTTTTAGACTATTTTTAGAATATTCTCTTAGACGATTTTTTCCTGAATTCCTTAGAACGATGATTGTCATATATTGTTACCCGTATCTTTATCCAATTTCTTAAAGAGATTTTTAGACTATTTTTAGAATATTCTCTTAGACGATTTTTTCCTGAATTCCTTAGAACGATGATTGTCATATATTGTTACCCGTATCTTTATCCAATTTCTTAAAGAGATTTTTAGACTATTTTTAGAATATTCTCTTAGACGATTTTTTCCTGAATTCCTTAGAACGATGATTGTCATATATTGTTACCCGTATCTTTATCCAATTTCTTAAAGAGATTTTTAGACTATTTTTAGAATATTCTCTTAGACGATTTTTTCCTGAATTCCTTAGAACGATGATTGTCATATATTGTTACCCGTATCTTTATCCAATTTCTTAAAGAGATTTTTAGACTATTTTTAGAATATTCTCTTAGACGATTTTTTCCTGAATTCCTTAGAACGACACGCGTATAGCACGCTGCGAAGTCGATTATATCATTTTGTTTTTTTTCTCCTCATTAAAGGTTCCGTGGAAATTCCGCAAGGAGATGCAGTTCCTGGCAAAGCCGTTCCACCACCTCCTACGCTGCCATCATCATCGTCTGAAGCATCCGGTGGTGCATCGAACAGTATATCAAAACCCGCGAATGAGCGCGCCGCTCTGCTCGGTAGCATCTGCAACTTCGACAAGACTAGGCTGCGAAGGATCGCAAATGGACATCGTTAGGGGTGCGTTAGACATAACAGATACGTAAAAAGAAGCCGCACTGCAAAGATAATGCTGGTGCAATAATTATACTACGAAAAAAAGTACTGCTAAATTAGAACAAACACGGTGTGTACCTGTAGATTATTACATTGGATTCTAAGGGATTGTGTATGGATGATAGCTTCGTCGTGCTTCTTGTGACTCCTCTAATGGTACCGAGTAACTTTTATTTCGATCGCGACACTTGTATTTTATGAACTTTTAAGATTTCGACATATTATTTATAGATGCTCGCGCTACGTAAATACGTGCGGTTTTGTAGCTTATAACGAATAAATTAAGAGTACAATATATCAAATTTGTGATATATATGTATATGTATATATATTGGTCCATTTTAGCGTCTGGCCTACGTTTATATGAGATATAATACAATGCTTGCTTCACTGTATTAGACCAGCCGTCCAGGAACGAGCCTAAACGAACGAAAACAACCAATCAAAAAATCGAAATGCTTTTGAAAATTTGCCACTTTACGAATCGTCCTATATTATATTCTTCCCATATATGGAACTATGTACACGTTTCCTAAGAAGATAGAGATTACCTAACTTATATAAAGATATACTGGATAATATATAATAATTAGGACTGTTCAATTATATATTATCTAGTTAAAATATTTGGAACGTACAGTAATATATGTTGGGAGCAATCTGCCACGTTTTTAGATTTATTTTAATTATTTACCATTATGAGACGAATTAAAGTCAAACGCGTGTACCATCTCGAGAAATCGCGTTTTTCTAGTCTAACACATATCCCGGTCTTGTACAACAATCAGTAGTACCGTAGAATTTTATAGATCTGATGATATACATTTGATTTAAATGCGAGTCAAGTTTCGCGATCGACTTAACTTATAACTTGTTAATTATTCATCGCGGGTAGCTCGTTTATTATTATCCTTTCGTGTATATATTGAACTTGTTTAAATACAAAAAGAAAATTAAAGAAAAAAGAGTGATACAACGGGGTGATAGTATGTATGCATATTAAGTGAATTTTCTCTCGTTATACCTATCTACTGTTCTGTCTATACAAAGTTTATGATATACATAATATATATATATATATATATATATATATATAT